GAATTTGGAGAGACTTTCTAATCTGGAGTCAGAGGTATCTCGTGCGCAAGAGGACGCCAAGGGGCTTACTGAACGAGCCACAAGAGCCGAAGCTGAGGTTGAAACACTCAAAGAATCCCTCAGCAAACTAGATGTTGAAAAGGAATCCAGTCTTCTTCAGTATCAGCAATGTCTACAAAACATAGCTGATTTGGAGGATCGCATTTCTCTAGCGCAAAAGGAGGCTGGAGAAGAAAATGAGCGAGCCAGCAGAGCCGAAGCTGAAACTCTAGCCTTGAAGCAAAGCCTGGTTAGATCCGAAACTGACAAGGAAGCTTCTCTTGTTCAATATCAACAATGCTTGGAAACCATATCTAATCTGGAAGAGAGATTGCGCAAAGCTGAGGAAGATGCAAAGTTAGTCAATCGACAGGCAGAAAATGCCGAGGGTGAAGTTGAAAGCTTGAAGCAAAAGGTCTCCAAATTAATTGAAGAAAACGAAGCTTATGAACTCCAGTACCAACAGTGTCTGGATACAATTGCAGATTTAAAGCTCAAGTTGTTTCATGCTCAAGAAGAAACCCAAAGGCTTAGCCGTGAAATAGAGGATGGAGTTGCTAAGTTAAAATTTGCAGAGGAAAAATGTGTTGTGCTTGAGAGATCCAATCAAAATCTGCACTCTGAACTGGACGATTTATTAGAGAAATTTGGGAATCAAAGTCAGGAGCTGACAGAGAAACAGAAAGAGATGGGAAGATTGTGGACCTGTGTACAAGAAGAACACTTGCGTTTCATGGAGGCTGAGACCGCTTTTCAAACCCTTCAGCAATTGTACTCTCAGTCTCAGGAGGAGCTAAGCACTTTGGAATTGGAACTGCAAAACAGGTCTCAAATCCTGAAAGATTTGGAGGCTCGTAACAATGGTTTACAGGAGGAAGTCCAGGAAGCCAAAGACCAGAACAAAAGCCTTAGTGAGCTCAATCTCTCTTCGGCTGCATCCATTAAAAGTTTGCAGGAGGAGGTCTCAAGATTACGGGAGACAATACAGAAACTTGAAGCAGAAGTTGAACTGAGAGTAGACCAGAGAAATGCTTTGCAGCAAGAAATATACTGTCTTAAAGAGGAATTAAGTCAGATAGGGAAGAAACACCAGTACATGGTAGAACAGGTGGAGTTGGTTGGTTTACATCCAGAAGGCTTTGGGTCTTCTGTCAAGAATTTGCAGGAGGAGAACTTAAATCTAAAGGAAATAAGGGAAAGAGAAAGTATCGAAAAGAAGGCCCTGCTTGAGAAGTTAGAAATGATGGAAAAGCTTGTTCAGAAAAACCTTCTTCTGGAGAACTCCATATCAGACTTGAATTCTGAGCTGGAAACAATCAGAGAAAAGCTGAAGACATTGGAGGAAGCTTGTCTGTCACTTGCAGAAGAGAAATCAGGCCTTCATTCTGAGAAGGACATTTTGATTTCCCGTCTGCAGAGTGCAACAGAAAACAGCAAAAAACTCTCTGAGGAAAACAGGTTACTGGAGAATTCTCTTTTTGATGTCAATGCAGAACTTGAAGAACTCAAGTCAACATTGAAAAGCCTAGAAGACTCATGTCACCTGCTGAATGATGACAAGTCCAGTTTAGTTACTGAAAGAGAAAGCTTACTCTCTCATATGGATTTAATGAGAAAAAGCATTGAAGATCTGGAAAAAGAACAGGCAGAGTTAAAAGTGAAAATTTTGGAATTAGCGACGGAGAGGGAATCTTCCCTTCAGAAAATTGAAGAATTGGGAGTGTCTTTAGATTCCAAGGACCGTGAGTATGCCAATTTTGTACAATTCTCCGAGAGTCGGATGAATGGCATGGAATCAAAGATCCATCACCTTCAAGATGAAAATCAATGCCGGGAGAGAGAATATCAAGCGGAACTGGATCGAGCTCATGATACTCACGTTGAGATTATTGTTCTGCAGAAATGTTTACAGGAGGGGCTTGAGAAGAGTTCCACTCTGATTGCTGAGAATCAGAATATCAAAGACGCTTCTAAACTGTTAGAGAAGCTAGTCTCTGAACTAGGAGAGGAAAATATTGGGAAACAAGTGCAGATTGAGTCCTCTATCAACTGCATTAAAATACTGAGAACGGGGATCTACCAGGTATTGATGAAGCTTGAAATTATTCCAGGTATAGATTCCGGTGATGAGAACTCACGAGACCAGAAGAACATGCATGACATATTGAGTAGACTTGATGAGATGCAAACTATGCTTTTGAAGATTCGGGATGAAAACCAGCAGTCTGCCATTGAGAACCTCGTCCTTGTTGAATTTCTTCGGCAACTTAAATCAGAAGCTGTAGCTATTGCAACAGAGAAGAAAACCCTTGAGGGAGAACTTGAATCTCAGTGTCAGCAGCTCTCGTTTTCGCAGGATGAGACCCAGAAACTTATCTACTTGAATGGAGAACTAACCACAAAAGTTAATCAAGGAGTCAACAGGGAAGAAGTATTGAAGGTGGAAATTGAGGATTTGCGCAGGCAAGTCTTGCAATCTCGAGATGACTACACCATTTTGAAGGAAGAGAATTGCAAAACGTTGGATGAGAAAACACACCTGACAAAGTCGACACTGCGGTTGGAGGAGGAGAAACGTGAACTAGAAGAGGATATTTCTTTGCTTCTCTCTGAAACTATATACCAAAGCAATCTCATTCTTCTTTTGGAGGATGCCGGTTTGGAAAAACTTTCAGGAGCGGTGAAACTAAACGAGGATCTGGAAAGACTCAGTTTTGTTAAGTGTAACCTCGAGGAAGCGGTAAGGGAGGTTGGTGATAAGTTAAAATCTGCAGAGATTGAGAATTTGCAACTTGAAGGTTTGCTAGAGAAATCGGACGCTGAACTGCTCTCTGCCAGATCAGCCAATGATCTGTTGGAACATGAAATTGCTAATGTGAAGGATCAGTTGGGTCAGAAGGAGAAAGAACTTCTAGAAGCAATGCTGATGATCTCCGTCGTGCAAAATGAAAAATCTGAGTTATTGAAGGCAGTGGAGGGTTTAGAATGTAGATACAAGGAAACTAAAGCCATAGAAGAAGATAAAGATAAGCAGGTTGTGAAACTTCGTGGAGATTTCGATGAGCAGATTAAGAAGAATGACCATGCGAACGAAGCTAATCTGAAATTAGAGGCTAATTTGATGGAACTACTCATGGAACTCGAAGAAATCACAGTGGAGAAGGAAAAGTTGAACCATGAGCTTGTCAAAGAAAGAAGTGAATCTGAGTTATGGGAGTCTCAAGCTGCAACATTGTTTGGAGATTTGCAGATTTCGGCTGTTCATGAAACATTGCTTCACGGATGTCACCATGAGCTAGCTGAAGCCTGCAAGAACCTTGAAAACAGAAGCACATTAAAAGACGTGGAGATTGACCAGCTTAAAGGACGAGTGAACAACTTAGAGGGTGTGAACAAAGGACAAAACGATCTTATGAGCAAATACGCCCAAGCTATTTTCTTGTTGAAGGAAAGCATAGAATCTCTGGAAAAACATTTTGCCATGCCTAACGAATTCGAGAATGAACCAGTCAAGGTAAGTCATTTTTATGTTGAACTGATGTTGCATCTGTTTCTTTGGAATTTTTTCTTGTCGGAGAGTAACCAATCTTTTGTGGTTATTTCTTACCAGGACATTGCTTCAGTGGTGGATAACAACGAGGGATTCTTAGAGTTGCAAGAAATGTGTTTGAGAATCAAAGCTATTGAGGAGGCAGTAACCAAAAAGCTTGCAATGGAAGCACTAAAAAATTCTTCTGCCCGAAGAAGCAGACGAAGGAGTGGAAGCCTACGGAAACAGAACCATGAAATCTTCTATGCAGAGGAAAGCGAGATGATCACAAAAGATATCGTACTCGATCAGGTTTCTGATTGCTCATCTTATGGGATAAGTAAGAGAGACATTTTGAAGATAGAAGATGATCACAGTTTTGAGGTAAAGCCACAACATCATCAGAAAGGTAAATCCTTGTCTGAAGAGTCTCTGGTTGTGGACAAATTAGAGATCTCCGATAGATTCACAGATCCAAACAAAGAAGTAAACAAGAGAAAAGTTCTCGAGAGACTTCACTCGGATTTACAGAAGCTCTCAAACATTCATACCGCCGTAGAAGATTTGAAATGCAAAGTCGAGAAAGAGGAGAAAGGCGAGAAAGGAAAAGAAGATGTGTACGAAACGATTAAAGGACAGATCAATGAAGCAGAGGAAGCATTAGAGAAACTTCTAAGCGTCAACAGAAAACTAGTGACAAAAGTCCAAAGCGGATTTGAGAAATCTGATGGAAGCAAATCATCAATGGATCTTGATGAGAATGAGAGCACCAGGAGGAGGAGAATTTCAGAACAGGCGAGAAGAGGATCAGAGAAGATTGGAAGGTTACAATTGGAGATACAGAGATTACAGTTTCTGCTACTTAAATTGGAAGGAGAAAGACAAGATAGAGCGAAAGCGAAGATATCGGAAAGCAAAACGAGGATTCTTCTTCGGGATTATATTTATGGCGGAGTGAGAGGTGAACGACGGAAGAGGATAAAGAAGCGGCTTGCGTTTTGCGGATGCGTGCAACCGCCTCCATCTCCTTGATCGTTCGTTCAAAC